TGGTTTGTAGCTCAGTGTTTACTGGTTGTTGGCTGGTTTGTAGCTCAGTGTTTACTGGTTGTTTGCTGGTTTGTAGGTCTGTGTCGGCCTGTTGTCGGTATGCTGTCCCCTGGTATCCAGGTCAGTGTGTTATTCTGACTGAGTGGCTGTGACAGTCTGAGCTGATTATCAGTGACCTGCAGCTCCTATTTCCTGTCAGCGAGCAGAGCCACCGATCTCCATCTGTCACTCTGTTTTTGTTACTTGTATTACATTTAAGCAACACTTCAAAAACCTTCAGCATTACTCACCTGTCAGTGCACGCCCCAGTGCCACAATTTGTAATTGTTGCACACAGGTGTGAATTTGTACACACCTGTGTGCTGCAGGTGTCTGTGGTGAACAATGAGTTTGAGTTTTTTAAAGAATAACTGAAGCTGATGTTTGTTCGTGCTTTGTTTGCCAGAGCACTCACAGTCGTGCTGTTTAACCACTGTTCATTAAAGCATGTGTGAGCCGTCACTGATCTCCACCTCTTCCTCCATCTCAGCGGTGGCTTGCAGCTGCCGACCTGCAGCAGGAAGTGTGCCGTCACCTGGCCATATACGTACCCAGAATCTTTTGCTTGGGGCTGAGCGGCAGTGACAGAGAGGAGCAGAGGGAGGAGCTCGCTTGTCAGCTCCTCCTCCTTGCACCACTGGAGTGGCTCCTTCTGGGGGAGGAGCCAGCGGCTGGTCTGGCGCTGCTGCAGGAGAACAACCAACCATCAGCGCTTTGCGGGCACGTGTTTAAGGTGGGAGAGCCCACCTACTCCTGCAGGTAGGAGACGCACGTCCACAGGTGAGGCATGCAACACAGGTGACTCATTTTAAGTGATGATCTGTGTGCGTGTGTGTGCAGGGAATGTGCGGCCGACCCGACATGTGTCCTTTGCATGAAGTGTTTCTTGGGCAGCGTTCATAAAGAGCATCGATACAGGGTAAGCGCGCGCGCACACACACACACACACACACACACACACACAGACACAGAGTTTGGTCATCATGGCTATGTGGTGTCCTCTGTTTTTCAGTGGACATCACAGTCTGTGTGTTGGAAGACAGCGTTTAAGGTTTTTAAGAAGTTACTGATATTTACAAAGTTTTAAAAAGATAAAAGTTAAAGATAGTTAAAGAGGTTTAAAATAAAGGAGGAGGTCAGTTTAAGAAAATACGCCGAGCAATAATCCAGTAACTCAGGTGTTCTTGGTCAAGTGCTGCAGATGGAACAGAAGAGGAGGAAGACCATCTCGGACTTGATCATCATCAGCTGGATGTGGCTGAACTCAGATCTACAGAAAATAAACTGCTTAAATATGTGAAAGGGACACTTTAAAAGAAACAAACGCCAGATCTCAGATGTAAAACAAAATCCTTATCCTGGATATCTGTACTGATATAACCTGGGTAATGTGTTGGGAAAGAAAAGAAGCCACATCGTTTGATAGACAGAAAAAGGACCAACCTTCCCGATATGCCCGATGGGGATTTTTTGTTTTTATGGGCCAGTGTTTTGTTTTTTTTGTTATTTTTTGTAACGGTATAAACAATGAAAGGGGGTGGATTGGCCAACTGGTCATGATCGACTCTGGGCTGGACCAATTACAGCCGAGGAGGTCGGGTGCGCCCTCCCTCTGAAAGCAGTCTTATTACAGACAAACAGAAGAAAATATTACTGAGCTGAAAAGGAAGCGATTTGTCCCGGACTTCAGCTAGAATGAAACAAAGACACAAAGCTGGAGTTATTCCACTCCTGTTGCTACTTCAATCATGAAACTTGCTGGTGGTCTGATTGTAGCTCTGGCAGCTCTCATCCTGTTCGTTCCTAAACAAATGAGCAGAGACCTTATCTGGGGTGTGTGTGTGTGTGTGTGTGTGTGTGTGTGTGCAGATGACAACGTCCGGAGGAGGTGGTTTCTGTGACTGTGGAGACTCTGAAGCCTGGAAGACCGGTCCTTACTGCCAGAAACACACACCGGGAGATGGCAACCAGGACACCGAAGAGGTCAGACTGATGTCTGTGACTCTCTATTCAATTCAATTTTATTTATACAGCGCCAAATCACAACAACAGTCACCTCAAGGTGCTTTATATTGTAAGGTAGACCCTACAATAATACATGCAGAGAAAAACCCAACAGTCATATGACCCCCTATGAACAAGCACTTTGATGACAGTGGGTCCAGCCTGGAAGTAATAAATGCATGAACTAGTTTTTCAGCATCACTCTGAGACAGGATATTTCTAATTTTAGAGATGTTGCGCAAATGGAAGAA